TAATGCCACTTTACAATGTAACACCCACTTTTCAATATTTATGTCATGAGTCCCATGTAATAGGGGGTGAGCCTATTGCCATATACCGGGCACAACTCCACACTCCGTGCTACTACTGAGAATTTTAAAAACTCAGTAGTACTTTGCCCGAGCCGGGAATTGAACCCGAGACCCCTTGCCCGGCAGTCAAACTTGCGACTACTCGACCAACGAGCCATTATTTTACCTTAATGAAAAGATATAATATTTATAAACCCCAAACATTCATCTTCCACAGTAACCCTAGTAGGCTCCAAAGGCCCAGCCTACGTGTTACAAGACAACCAACTCCACCTGCGCCTTCCCCAGCCAAAATACACGAACTACGCGCTAATGCAGACGATAAACGACGCTATTACCTTAGCCGTAGAGGAGAAAAAGATTTTAGATGAAGTCCAACGCCTGGAGAGTGACAATGAGGTCAGAAGTGAGAAGGACAAGGGAGGTAATGGACATAGTCTTAGAAGTAGTGTAATTGGCATTGTCCTTTGTGCTTTAGTTGCGTTGAAATTCTAGTGTTCCTAATTGCGTGACGTACTTAGTATGAATAGGGCAGTTTCCTATATTTTATTTTAATGTCCGTCTGGTACGTGGGCTACACATCGAGCTTTACATAACCAGTATAAACTGAACGTTAAATGTGCGGAAAGATGATGCGACGCGACACCAGGATAAACTGGTTTTGTATAGGTTGATGTGTGGCCGTGAGTACATTAATTTAAAACTTTATATACGTATTTTTTCTTTTCTCACAAAATTAAATACTTTCGACGATATATTAATTTGAAATATCGTGTGACGTCACAGCGTGCCACATTTTGTAGCACGTTATGACGTAACGACCTTGAACTCCTAAACTTAGCGCCTTTATATCTAAGTATTACAACTTGATACGAGAAAATAAAAATACGTGTCTAATATTTTTTCATTATCTAATTAACGGACTAATTAGATTTTTAATTTTGATACCCTGGAAATTACCCAATTGAGTAGTCTCTTTTTGTCATGTAAATATCATTTTGTAAGTTTTTGGACTCTGTGAAAGTCGATAGGAATTTATAATGATGTCAGTGTTCTTTTTATATTCATTTTTGGACTTTGTGAAAGTCTATAATTTATGGTTAAAATCAGTGATCTTTTTACCTACGTGATTTTTATTTGATCATTGTGTTGTAAAATTTACTTATATTTTTGTTAAAAATCTATGTCTCATGACTTCAGAATCTAACTAAACAATAATTATGAAAAATTATTAAATATTCTTAATATGTATAAAATACTACTCGTAACAAAATGATGATACAAGGCTCCCCAAATACTATGGACACGCCTAACCACGACAACATATCATTGAAAAATTACTTAACATGTCTACCAAATGTGTTGTAGATACTACGTAGACGTTTGGTAGACATTTCGTATACATTTGGTAGACGTTCCGTAGACATTTGGTAGAATCTAATAAACTGCCGTTTTCAATAACCTTTTTATTTGCGTATCAAAAATATAATTTTGACATGAGCTGCTTACAAAATGTGATGACAGCCGTAAGTAGACATTATGTATACATTGTCAAATTCTACGTAAGTATTGAAAAGTCGAAATAATTTGTTTTTAGACTGTGAAAAATACCCTATTCCTATAGGTATTGTGATTATTGTACCTACTTACTTAAAACTTTTCTCAAGTAGGTATAATTCAAAATATTTTCGCGAAATATTTGGCGATCAGTATTTTTGATACTGTAGGTATAATAAGTCAGTGTTACTCATTGAAATACCGATTTTAAACTTACCGACTTTATACCGATATTATTATTTTTTTATATATATATAGACATGAAGTATAAATAAAAATAATGTTATATTTTCATACTGCCACAAATGAATTATCTCACAAATTAAATAATTACTTAAATATAGTTTTGTAAATATATTTTTAGTATTTTATGTGCAACCAACCTATTTAGTATGCATGTAAGAAAATAAATATTGATTCAGTATAGAGATAGTAACCATTGCTTGACTACTGAGCCAACCAATGGTCTCAAAAGATATTTGTAACTAGCTACTTCCGCGTTGTTTCACACGCTCTAATCGGCTCCTATTGGTCGTAGCGTGATGTTTTATAGCCTATAGCCATCCTCGATAAATGCGCTATCCAATACAAAAAGAATTATTCAAATCAGACTTGTAGTTACGGAGATTAGCGCGTTCAAACAAACAAACAAAAAAACAAACTCTTCCGCTTTATATAATAGTATAAGATAAGATATAAGATAAGATGTGACGTGTCGTGGTGGCCCGGAGGTTAAGACGCCCGCTTCTTATGCATGAGGGTGCGGGTTCGAAACCTAGTAACGGCAGTACTAATCTGACGTTTTCCAAGTTATATAATATACTTTCTAAGAATTTTGAGACACCACAAACGGTGAAGGAAAACATCGTGAGGAAACCTGGATTTACAATTTTTAATTATAAGTTTGAAATCGCCAACCCGCATTGAGCAAGCGTGGCGATTATGCTCAAACCTTCTCCGTGTGAGAAGCGGCTTTGCTTCAGCAGTAGGCACTTATAGGCTGTTGATGATGATGATAGCTGCTGTCTCTGTACTGAATCCATTGTTATTTTTGTGTATACTTAATAATTTGTCGCGGAGAACCTAACGGGTAACCGGGGCTCCGGATCGAAGAGCAGGAGAAGGAACGGGGTGGTTTTTAGTCAGTAAGAGTCTGACACTCCCTCCCGCCTCACCCAGGCGGGAGCAGTCATTCGATGATTTTCCCCCCTTAAAATAAAAACTTAATAACTTGGCTGATATACATTATGAGTGATTATTCTTTTTAAATATATCTCTGGAGATAACGTATATCAGACTGTAATACCTATATCATTATGTAAAAATTTCTTTCCTACAAAGATATAGTTTGATATAATGTTCTAAACATGGGGGAAATCGGTTAGCGATTTTTCGTAGGTATTCAAAGATTTTTTATACTTAGTATATATAATTGTATATGTATTTAAAATACTCATATTTTTATTTTTATACTACACATTTTGTGTTCTGTGTGTGTTGTGTTATTTTTTATAAATAAAATATTTTTTTTATCTGAAATGTTTTTGTGTTATTTTGACTATATTTACCTAAACGTTACCCGTTGATATCCAATCCCCTAAATTTGGTAATACAAAAGTAGTCTCTAAACGTTAGAAATAAGGTCTATAATGTACTGTAATATTAGTGGAAAGCGGTCACCGGTGACCGCTTGGGGATTTATGGGTTAAGGCATACCTATTAAATGTCTATTAAACCCCTATAATTAATTATTAGCACACTCCTACATACTACCTACTGTTACTAGTTTTGAGAAGCGGGGCCTCCTAACACAGGTATTTTTATTTTTTATACTTAAAAGAAGACCCCAGCGAAAGATTTATTGTAGAAGTTTTTTAGTTCTGAATAAAGATTTTTATTTATTATTTACATAATTATATTTATTTAAAATTATCTACAAATTAAATATAAATACTACTTATATAATAAAAAATAGTATTTATAAATATAAAAAATAGGAGCCGACCAGTAGCGGGAGCATGGTCCAAGCTACCGGTGGTTATGGCTCCAGAGACAGAAACCTCCTCACGACACGTGCCGTTTCTAGGAGAACTGTCTTTTGTATCAGGCCCTTGATGCATCCATTATTATTTATTATGATTATTATTTAAATATAAATGTGTCAGTCTCTAAAGAGTAGATCAAAGAGAGAATAAGTATAAGGTGTTAGTTTACTCGATTCCTATGAAGAAGAACGAGCAAGAAACTCCATACTCCTTTTTCAACTAGTAACTTATTAGTTCATTATTATGTTTTCGGCTTACTCAAGTAACATAGCGGTGCGGGCCCAACGAGATTTATTTGTGGGATAAAACGGTAAACGAGCTGACGGATCACCTGATGGTAAGCAACCATCGTCGCCCATGGACACCTGGAACACCAGAGGCGTTACAAGTGCGTTACCGGCCTTTTGGGATTAGGAATTTGAGGATTGTTGGAGATTCCGGTAACCTCACTCACACGACGAAATACAACACAACGTTGTTTCACGTCGGTTTTCTGCTCGGCCGGGTTTACTCTGGTCGAGCCGGCCCATTCGTGCCGAAGCATGGCTCTCCCATACTTAAAAACTATAAACCATGTGCGTGAATCACGGCAGAAAAGGCGCGTTGGGCCCGCGCCGCGGCAGGCTCGGGTAGCCAGTAGCAGCCACAGTCGCCGCGTCGCGGGTCGCGGAATGCTGCTCATGAATATGAGCCTCTAGCATGGCTTGAAACTAGTCGAGTTCCTCGTCAAACAGTTTCGTTGAGTAAGCCCAAAACATAGGTAATAATTAATTTAGTGACTCACGAAGGTTTTAATATAAACAGTTATTAGTTATTGTTGTTGTTCGATCTAGTTGATATAACTACTTCTAAACGAGCTAGTATATTTCTTAATTACCTAAAAATCGCGGATTACTCACGTGAATATACTGAGAAAAGCTCTACTAGTTTCGAACCACAGAGGGGTTTTTCCTCGTGAGCAGCGTGCGCGGTCGCAGCGATGTCACGCAGCCTAATTGCCAGCGTTGGCGCTCGCCTCGGTGTTGCTACTTGCGCATCCAGCCCAGAGGCCTTAGTACGAGTCTGTATTACGCGTTTGGCAATCTGATTGGCCGGCGCCAATGAACCAACCAATCAGAGCGCCGAACGCGTACTCCTTACGATTACTTTAAGCGTAAAGTAGACTCGTTCTAAGGCCTCAGATCAGTATATTCACGTGAGTAACCCGTGATTTTTAGTTAATTTAGTATGTCTCGTGAGATAGTGAATATCTACTATCGTGATGGTTATTTACTTACACTTTAGGTATTGAAATAAGACAAATTGTACAGACTAAGTAATAAATAACGATATATTTAGGTTAATTATTTACTTAATAATAAGAATAATTTACAAATCTTCGTAGGGAGATCCACAGCGCACGTTGTAGAAATGATCGCAAACCTGAAAAATCAGAAAAATACATAAAAATGTGGGAAATTACAAAACCGCAAGTTTTGTGCTCATATTTTTTATGGGTTATGCCGAGAAACGAGCCGACAGATCACTGGACGGAGTAAAGTAATCGTCGTCTCCTTTGGACGCCTGTAACACCAGAGGCGTTACAAGTGCGTTACCGGCCTTTTGGGGATTACGAATATGATGATTGTTGGAGACTCAGGGATTGGGGAGATTGAGGAAGAGGGGGGCGGGTAATGAGGTCTCCGGTAACCTTACTCACACGACGAAACACAACACAAGCGTTATTTCACGTCGGTTTTCCGTGAGGCCGTGGTATCACTCCGCTCGAGCCGGCCCATTCTTACCCAAGCATGGCTTTATCATATTTGAATAGTTAATTTTAACTGGACAAAGATTAAACTTAAACAATTAATATCATCATAATCATCATATTAGTTAAACATTTTCACTACAGAACAATGGCCTCCCCGTCCGGATCAAGGGCTTCCAGATAGGCCGGTTTGAAGCGAACTATTAATATGCCTTTGACGAATTTTGGATCCTGCCGCATTAGTAGAGTAGCCCAAATGCCACGAAGGTGTTCTCGGAGGTCGATTCTCGACTCTAGTGAAGCTGGGGTTTCATTATGGAATTTTAGAAAATTTCTCAGTAATGGCACGAAGTCTGAAATTGCGCCCGGTGTATGGCAATATTCTCACCCCCTATTACATGGGACTCATAACATGAATAGTGAAAAGGGGGTGTTACATGGTACAGTTGGCATCGAGTGCTGTAATGTGCACCTCTCCCTACCGCTTCGGAGATAAAAGGCGTGATGTTATTTAAAATAGGTTTGTCTACTTACTTGAAACTGCTCATTAAAGAGAGTACCGTTAGCACATAACTCCGTGCTCACCAAATGTTGTCGCCAGCAGTAGTGGAACGCCTGGAAGTTAGACAAAATAACAATAATAAACATGCGTATTGTAACTTTTGTTAGACATATACTAAATAATTTGATGAGGAACTCGACTAGTTTCAAGTCATGCTAGAGGCTCATATTCATGAGCAGCATTTCGCGACCCGCGACACGGCGACTGTCGCGCTGCTATTGGCTACTCGAGTCTGCGTCGCGAAATGCTGCTCATGAATATGAGCCTCTAGCATGGCTTGAAACTAGTCGAGTTCCTCGTCAAATTAATTCGTGAGTAAGCCGAAAACATAATAATTTATTAAACATGCGGTTCATAAATTATGGTGAACAGTCAGTGTCAAATATTAAAACATTATTGAAATATACTCGTGCTTATCCCATCGAAAGTAAAAACTCATGGCTTTTTTTATGACGAGACGAGTCCTTCAAAATGGTCGCCTAGCTTTTTGGGGATAAAAGACTAGGGGGTGTGGGGTTCTTGTCACACCAAAATCACCCTCATCACCTGTAGGGGACACCGGAGCCTCTAAAAGACTCGCACCGGCGCCTTCACAGTGCATCGCCTGTCACGGCACATCCCTAGGGAGACGAATGTCTCTCTAGGGCCTAGGTGTGTATCAGGCGTTGTACCGTGGGGGCTCCGGAGCAGGTCTCTTCAGAGAACCCGGTGCCCCTTACAGGTGCTGAGAGTGGCCACCGGGATGGTTTTAGTGAGGTAAGAATCCCACACTCCCTAGTCTTTTTCCCCAAAAACTAGGCGCCTTTTGAAGGTTTCCCCCCGACATCCAAAAAAAAGGGTTTTCACGGCTGCACGTGAATAATAAACACAATCAGTTTCTAATAAACTCTGTGAAGATTGAGCTCATTGCTAATGAACAGAGTTGATGAAAAAAATGTATTAAAAATCTGTGTCATACCTGGCACCCACTTTGGACATCAGCATAATACCCCCTGGTCCTCCCATGGCAGGTGAAGCTGGTCGGGGGAGCGACCGCCAGCACTGGATGCAGAGGGGGATCATGAGGTAGGTGGAGCTGATGGTAGTAGTCTGTGGGCTGCTGACTGAAGACTGCTGCCAAGACTGAGGAAAGAAAGAGTGACTAAGTGTGCGAGAGCCATGCTTCGGCACGAATGGGCTGGTTCGACCGGAGCGATACCACGGGCGACTGACGTGTAGCAACGCTTGCGTTGTTGCGTGATTTGTCTTATGAGTGAGGTAACCGGAGGCCCAATTACCCTCCCCTGCTCCGCCACTAATCTTTCCAATCCCTGAATCCCCAACAACCCTCAAACTCCTAATCCTCAAAAGGTTGGTAATGATAAAAAAGGGTGAGTTACTTAATGCCACCATCTCTTTAAATTTAAAGAAACCTCTGGCTTAAGATACCTACTTAGATACCATTGAATTACCCGACTACGGCAAAGTAAAAGGAGGGTAACGTATTATTAGTTTTCACTAACCTACAAGAGACACCTAACAGTACAAGTAAACAGTTAATAATGTACGTATTCCGTCACATTAAGAGACTTTTAGTTAAGTGACAGTTTAAATGTGTCTAGTGAAAACGACCATTTTTTCATTTACGTTGCTCCATACTAGGATTCTCCGAGCGTACGGCGCGTCGCGTTCCGCGCGCGCCTCAAAGAGCCATCAGACCACCACAGATGGGGCCAAATACGGCCGATGCCGATTCGGAGTCGCGGAGAACCTAACGGGTAACCGGGGCTCCGGCTCGACGTGCAGGAAAAGGAACGGGGTGGTTTTTAGTCAGTAAGAGTCTGACACTCCCTCCCGCTTCACCCAGGCGGGAGCAGTCATTCGAGCATGATTTTCCCCCCTTAAAAAAAAATACTAGGATTCTGTCACATACACACGACACTCAGACCCGGAACAACAATCTGTGGATCACACAAAGAGTTGTTCCGTGCGGGAATCGAACCCGCTACACGTTGCGCGGCAGCCAGTTGCCAAGCCACTGCGTGCAGTCATTAGAGTTCATACTGCTGTAAATGACGGTATGTTAAGTCCAATTTATATTTTGAAGATAATTTTATTTAAGCGCGCTAATGACACTGTACAATGTATAACACCCACTGTTCACTATTTATGTTACGAGTCCCATGTAATAGGGGGTGAGCCTATTGCCGGGCACATTTTCAGACTCCGTGCTACTACTAGTTTTTTTTACTTTTTTTTAAACCCAGTAATACTTTGTCTGACCCGGGAATCGAACCCAATCACGTGGCTAACGAGGCAGAAATAGTTAATCACTACATAGTATAAAACAAAGTCGCTATCCGCCGTCTGTCTGTCCTTATGTATGTTTAGATCTTTAAAACTACGCAACGGATTTTGATGCGGTTTTTTTTAAATAAAATAGAGTAATTTTTAACACGTTAAACGCCATGGGGGTCACCGGTAACCGGCGTTAGCGGAGGATTTACCTTCAACAGTTTTTTATTGGCAGTCAAAGTCTTAAGGAAGGTTTATAATGTATATTACATGCATATTGCACTCGTGCGAAGCCGGGCCGAGTCGCTAGTCTTTTATAAAAATAAAGCATTAAATGACTTAGCAATTGAATACCAATACAGTACTTATCTATTAGGTACTTGGTCATTCATGCAATTCTTAGATATATAAAAAGAACATACTTTTTTAAAAAGAGTAACGAATGGAGTTTCTTGCTCGTTCTTCTCCATTCGAATCTACATTTTGGAAAGAGCACCTAGCTTCACCTAGTTTCACTGACGGACTGACTGACAGACTATTATTTATTCTGTAATTGTTGACGTTTCAAAAGTACCAAACTATGGTTTAATTGAAATAAATGCTTTGACTTTGATTCGAAAGATGAAACTATAAATCTGTTAACATTAAACAAATAAATTCTTGATTTCAATCCCACTATCAAACAAGCATCGAAAAAATACGATAAATATTTACTCTGATACGGAAATCGATAGTGAGACCTTGCAGCCAGCGGTCGAACTTGGCGGCCATTGGACTAACAAGGTCATTTTAGGCACAAACATAACATTACATTAGATAACAAATGTTATTTAACACTGAATATGTTTTGTGATATTCATAAAAAAATAGAATAAAAAGAACCTATATTAGGTTTATAGGTATTTTTTCTTACCTACTAAGAAATCGAATCTTTACCTATTAAGCAAAAAGGTTTCTGAAAGGTACTAATTTACCTATAAATATTATTAATTTAATTTTAATATGTATTATTGGGTTTTTAAAAAATTCTCAGTAGTAACACGTAGTCTGGAATTGTGACCGGTATATGGCAATAGGCTGACCCCCTATTACATGGGACTCATAACATAAATAGTGAAAATTGTGTGTTACATTGTACAGTGGTATAATATGCACCTCTGCCTACCACTTCGGGGATAAAAGGCATGATGTTATGCTATGTTATATTATGTTTTATTATAATTAAAAATGAATCGGTTACCGAGTAATTAATAGAAAATAAAAACCGAACATATATAAAAAATACATATTAATACACGAACAATTTTAACATTAAAAAATTATGTTTTTTTTTTAATTTCAAACTTCGCGCGTTGACTCACACACAATTAACTGGAAATATTTTCTAGAAAACAATACCTTTATATATGTTTGTAATAAAAATAAATTTCCATGTATAGTATACCTACACAATACCTATATCTTCTGAGAAGGTATTATTTATCTTAATAACTTGCTACAAATCTACTTATAATTTGTCCCAAACTTCAATAAAAATATTATTCCACAATTTGTTACAGTCATTTTACATGTAAACACACACAATACAATACAATACAAAATAAACTTACCAAAAAACAGTACAGTAAAAACTTTCAACATGGCGATTAGAAAATAATATAAATAATAAATAAATAAATAAATATTAAATAATAAATAAATTATGAACGCCAGTTCGAAAGCCGGCCGCGGCGGCGCGGATCACTTTACTAAAACTTCAAGTAGTACGATTTAGAATTAAACCTTCGATGTTTATGGACCGGTTTATGTTGCAAGGCGCCATTGCAATTTACTAATTTATTAGTTCGTTGGGTGATTGGTTAATCGCGTTTATGTTTCGGGATTTTATTGTTGTTCTGGACATATTAATAACATTAGCAGTCTATGACAGTTCACTTCTGGAATATAAGTCTCATCACATCAATAACCTTTAAGTGGCCACTGCTGACCAAAGGCCTCTTCTCACACGGAGAAGGTTTGAGCATTAATCGCTACGCTTGCTCAATGCGAGTCGCGATTTCAAACTTATAATCAGAAATTATAAGTCCAGATTTCCTCACGATATTTTCCTTCACCGTTTGTCAGTGGTGTCTAAATAATCTTAGAAAGTACATATAACTGAGAAAAATTCACATTACTTGCTGTTGGTAGATTTCGAACCTGCACCCTCATGTACGAGAAGCAGGCATCTTAAACCTTGGCGGATTTGAATAAATCTCCAAGTTTGGCATTTGGGTTTACTAATGATCCCAGTTTAAACTGTCAAACACCGCGAGTACACCGGTGACCGCAACCTATTGTTCTTTAATTCCTAACGGGTAACCGGGGCTCCTACTCGACCTGCAGGAGAAAGAACGGGGTGGTTTTTAGTCAGTAAGAGTCTGACACTCCCTCCCGCCTCACCCAGGCGGGAGCAGCCATTCGATGATTTTACCCCCTTAAAAAAAAATAAAAAATTGTTCTTTAATTATGTCTATAATGAATGACGGTACTCAAAGGGTTGATTGGTTCAGGTTTATGAATCAGAGAACGCTGCCTATTGCCTGTTACTGTCCTGCCTACTGTCTGTGTGCTAGAGCTAACTAAAAGACTTCTTCAGCTCTTGCGACATAAGTTAGAACGGTAAGCCTGGTACTGATGCCGATACGGAGCCGCGGAGGACTTAACGAGTTGCCGGGACTGCGGCTCGAAGAGCACGAATAGGAACAGGTTGGTTTTTGGTCAGGAAGAATCTGACACTCCCTCTAGTCTCATCCGGGCGGGAAAAGTCATTGGACGGTTTTACTTCCTCAAAATAAAAGTCGTGGTTCCGTCCGAACATGTTCAAAAATTGTATGTCGTTTGGTAATTTTTAAACTATAAGATCTAATTGGGTTTAATTATTTTAATGACGCTGATAAACTAATTGATATTAAGAATTTGGGTAACAGCAAACATATAAAATCAAAATTTGCAATAACTAGCAATAAGTTAGCTTAATAAATAATCATAATTAGCAATAACCATAATTAATAATAATTAGCATTTTTATAATTACGTTTTAATGCGTTGTAATTAAGTTTGTTTAATTAAAATATTTAATCACCGATTTTAAAACTGTTGCTTTGACAAAATGTTACCCTTAATCCAGCTTTGACTCAAGTTACCTATTTATATTTAAGTTGATAGACATTTATTTCAACGCCAGCTGAAACTACTTAATAAAATTTATTCTATCTAACATAACACCGTCCCAATCAGTAGATATAACATTTCGCGCACGCACAGAAGGTCGCAAAGCTGCGCAGGCGCATTGACCATAATGTGCAATGGACCTTACTGATCATAGACATACAACCTCCATTGAGGTAGATCTGTCAATTCAGATGTGTTCTGACATTTTTTTTTGCTATGCCAAGCCCGCCATAAGCTAACAAAGCTGCTGCGACTCCTGTAAATAAAGATCTACAGTAGCTACAGTCATGAACACACTTGATCACTGAAGTCTGGCGCGTCCCAGGGACATGAGTAACTGTCTTGGTTCCCGCAACGAAATAAATCAGAAGATATTATATGAGGAGAAGAAAAAAAACGATAGTTTCCACTTCCCTCGGTGAATTACTGCAGGAGACAAAATAAATTCAGCCTAAAGGCACAAAAAAAAACTAAATGTTCTGATATTATAAATCTTTTGATTTTTTATAGTACAGGGCGCCAATCATGCAGACCAGTGGGCTTACTCTTGAATCCAATTCCGATCGATCGACATTGGTATTGTGAAATTTCGTACTCTTGAGTTGTAACACTAGCGCCCATTGCATCCGTATTGCGTGGATATTGAATGAACTAAATGGTTTTGAGTTTGGCTTTATAGGTATTCCGTACCCTGAATGCTATTTTAACACCTACGGTTGGGGTTGTATAATTTTGACATTGGATAATTATTGAGATTTTATTGGATTGAAATTGCATTGACATTGAGATTGGTTTCAAGAGTAAGCACCCTGATGGTAAGCAATCAGTGCTAACAAGGGACAACCAAAATCAATGTGGAGTTGTTAGAAGTTTAACTACAACTGCATGGTTAGCGCAGATCTCTTTGTGTGATCCACAAATTGTTGTTTCGGATCTGGGAGTGTTGTGTATATGAAATTGTATAATTATTTTTAAACCCACCCATGGTACAGGAAAATCTTGTTGTGGAGCAACGTTTTTGAGTAAAGGAAAAGAAGTTCCTTACGGTTGAGGAAATTGAGGACCCGGTTTGGGGTTGGGGGATTCCCAACCTTACTCACAGTGAGAAGAAATAAAGTAATTGTTTTAAAGCATTGTTTTAGTCATTTGAATAGAAAGCAAACCTTTTTCGTACCTTGCAACGTAAGACGTAAGGTGGACAGACGACCTGATTAATGTCGCAGGGAGCCGCTGCGCTGGATGCAGGCTTCCAATCGGCCTATCTGGAAGTCATTGGGGGAGGCCTATGCTCAGCAGTGGACGTTCTATGGCTGATATGATGGCGATGATGATGTTAAAACCTTTTCTGACCCTGACGTGGAAAACCTTCGTTGACGACCTCTGGCTCTGGTCTAGAGAAGATGAAATGCACAAATGACATAACATCTTGCCCTTCTTCTCCAAAGGGGTAGGCAGAGGTGTACATTACGGCCCTTAATGCCACTGTACAATGTAACACTTACATTTCAATATTTATGTTATGAGTCTCATGTAACAGGGGGTGGGTCTGTTACAATATGGCGGACACAATTTCAGACTCCAAGCTACTACTGAGAATTAAAAAAAAACCCACTTATACTTTGCCACGGCAGTCGCACTTTTTTTTTTTTAAGGGGTGAATATCATCGAATGACTGCTCCCGCCTGGGTGAGGCGGGAGGGAGTGTCAGACTCTTACTGACTAAAAACCACCCCGTTCCTTCTCCTGCACGTCGAGCCGGAGCCCCGGTTACCCGTTATGCGACCACTTGATCAACGAGGTAGCCACTATTAGACTTACTAAAACCACTTTGATCCAATTCCTGGGTTACCTATCTCCACTATTACATATACCAAGTGCCACGGCGCACTTTAAAGGCTTTTCGTATAGCCGCTGATTTATCACTATCACTACATAGTATTAAACAAAGTCGCTATCCGTCTGTTTGTCCCTATGTATGCTTAAATCTTTAAAAGTACGCAACGGATTTTGATGCGGTTTTTTTTAATCGATAGAGTGATTCTTATGGCAGTTTTTTTTATGTATAATACATGCATATTGGATTCGTGCGAAGCCGGGCCGGTCGCTTGATTAAACTAATCCATAAATTGCCGAGTTATATGTACTTTCTAAGATTATTTAGACACCACTGACAAACGATGAAGGACAACTTCGTGAGGACACCTGGGCTTATGGGCGCAAGCGCGACACCACATCGGGTCATGTCTAACGGGTCGACGCAAGAACTTCTCCAAGTTCGCTATCCCCTCGACAGGCCGAATCCAAAAACCGAAAAAGCCGTCCCTAGCGTTCCCGAGGTTTTTAACAATATTATAAATCATTTTTTCCAATCGTGCTCCGTTTTAGAAGTGATTGCTTGTAAACTTATAATATGTGAAGGTACAAGGAAGACATGGTAATGTCAAGGTGCTAAATGAAACGGATATGGCAATTGCTATTGAAAGATAAAGATTGTGGCAATAAAAATATAGAGTACTTGTGTGGACGTACTATTGACGAATTTTTTGGTGACTGGGTTAAGTAAAAAAATTATGTCTTGCCAATGCGCCTTGAGCAACCGTAGTGCTTAAACATTCTCCATGTGAGAAGAGACCTTATAAGTGTGGGAGAGCCATGCTTCGGCACGAATGGGCCGGCTCGACAGAAGTGATACCAGCTAGGATAGCTTGCGTTGTATTTCGTCGTATGAGTGAGGTAACCAGAACCATAATTACCATCCTCCCAGTCTCCCCAATCCCCGTATCCCCCACAATCCTCAAATTCGCAATTCCCAAAAGGCCGGTAACGCACTTGTAACACCCCTGGTGTTCCAGGTATCCATGGGCGGTGCCGATTGCTTATGATAGGTGATCCGTCTGCTCGTTCACCGGCTTATCCTATAAAAAAGACCTTTGCTCACCATTGGGCACTTATAGTGTGTTGATGGTAATAGTATTTACCGTCGTACACATTCTCAGCAAACTGTATTACTGAGAACTTCGAAAACCAGAATAGTGTAACGAAATGCTTTTGCAATTAATCCAAAACTTACACCGCTAGAATTTTGTGCACCACCAAGACCTGTCCTGTTCGAGAATATATTGTACATATTGTTTATAGCTCTACAATATATTAAATATGTGTTACCTGCCGCGTAGGTTACGTATCAATTTTGCTGATTGTACTTTATAGCAAATAGCTTGTAAAAATATTATAGTGATGAGAGCACTGAATCGGATTGCAATTTAATTTGTAATTGAGTCGTGATGTTATTTACAAGGACTTTTGGTATGAACACGATTGTAATTAGGGGTCGAACAGAGATCTAGATATTTTATTTTTAATGTACCTAATAGTGTGGCATACGAGTCGATGGATCACCTGATGGCAAGCAATCAGCGCCACCTATGGACACCAGAGGATGTCTTACCAACGTTTATAAATGAAGAGGGAGAATGAGAATTTAAGAGAGTTACCGGCTTTTTGGTGATTAGGGGCTCCA